AAAAAAATGTTTGGTATTTTAGTACAATATCTTAAATTTAGATTTAGTTGTTATTTTATAAAATTAAAATTTCTTATATTACTTGTAATTATTTGTTTACAGATTATTTCAGAGTATAATAGTTATAATTATACTATTAAATCTGATATAAATCAAAAAAAATATTTTATGAAGATTATCGTTACTCTGGTATATTTTGTGGTAATCTACTGTTAGTATAAGATTAATCAACTTTACTTTTTTATGATTTATACTGATTAATAGTTCTTTTTTAATCATTTTAGCTCAATCAAATATATTATGTGAAGATCCTATCGACAACAAAAATTCTGAATTAACAAAGTCGAAAAGTCCAAAACTATATTGTAACGTTACTGTTGAGGCAGATAGTATTAGAACTAAATTATTAGTTACAGTTTTTGTTAAAAAGTCTAAGAAACGTAGTTGGTTTTCTTGTTGGGAAAATTCAAGTGAAGAAAGTAGGTTTATTGTACTTACTGGAAGTGTTAAATTTTAATAATTATAAGCATTGTATTCAAAAATTAATTCTAAGGAAAATAGATGGGTATATCAGCATACAGAATATAACTAAATATATATGCATATATATTTGTACATATAAAGATTATTAAAAATTTTTAAGGATTTATCATCATTTTATTTTAGTTATTTCGTTATGATTATAAAATATTATTCTTAAAAGTTTTCTATCGATTATATTCTATACGCTCTGAGACTGGAATTGTTACTAACATGCACAATTAGTCATTGGATATGATAAATTTGAAGTTCAGCAATGATTGTTCTTTCGAACGGAATAATCATTGTAGACACTTGAAAACACCTGAAAACTGCGTAGCGGATATACCTATAAATCTTAACATCAAGCTTATATTATAACGTTAATAATTCGATTATAATTATGTTATTAAAACGTTGTGAAATTGTAGTTTATAGTTTAATAGTTCTCTTGAGGCTTATAAGGTGTGTGCAGCTTATTATTCAAACATTTCTATGTTATAGCTTTAAGATTGCTAGTATGTGTATTTTCTTTTTTTTTTGGCTCAAGGAAAAATAAAATTATGTTTAAATATCTTTCATTATGTACAGATTACATGTAGTTAAATTTAATAGAAATGTAGCAAACAAAAATTAAAAAATATAATTGTTTTTTTAATTTGTTAATTCAATAGTCTATCACTCCATAAATGTTATATGTTATAATGTTATGTTAACATTATTGTTTATACAGACATGACATGTATTGTATTGCTTAGCACGTTTATCAGATAATAACTTATTTAGTATTTATATACAATCTTTTAACAATAATTATTGTTTTTTTTTTAATTTAAATTTAAAGGTTATTATGAACTTTTAGACTATACTGGTCAAATACAAGATCCTTCTTTAGTCGCATTGTATTATAACGAAATAAAAGTGAGAAAAATATTATGTATTTATTTGAATTAACAGAAACTTAATTAATTAAGTTAAATTAACGTTGGACATTTTTTTTTTTTAACTATATTCTGTTTGTTACAGCTGTTAAATTCGGTAAATAGAGTATTAAACGAAGCTAAACGATTTTTGAAAAATAAATATAATTACGAGTAATGAGTACACACCAATTGTATTCGCATTAACCGCTGGTTTAAGACTGTTTAATAAAAAATCCGAAACAATAGTCAATCAAATATTTTTATTTATTTATTAATTTTCTCAAAACTCTCAAAGTTCTCAATTATAATTTATTCTTAGGTAACCAACATTTTGAGTAAATATAAAGATGAATATCAAATAAATGAAAGTCGTGAAGTACTTTATGCTTGGTTATCAGTTAATTTCATAAACAGTTAAGTATAAAAATATAAAAAAATATTGTAATTAATAATAATTAATTCATGAATAAATTATGAATATGTATTTATTTTTAGAACTTTAATAATACAACTTCACTAAATATATTTTTGATATGACTATCATTATATTTTCGGATAGACTCTAAAGATTCTCAGTTATAACATAATTTAATACTTATGATAAGTCTGTTCAGACTTTGAAGAATTTGACTTAAATTAAATGTATAAGAAAAAATAAAAACTGCTACTTCTAATGAAACAAAAGAATCGCTTTTTCTCATTATTATGTAAATCAACAATTATATTCTTATACTCGACTAAAGGTTCTTTAACTAATTTACCTAAAAACTAAAAACATATATCTTATTAAATAACTATAAAAATTATTAATTCGATTTAACTATTTACTTTTTAGCTGATTTCCTACGGTAGTCGAAAAAACTACACACCGTTTACAATAAGCACCTTGTTTCATTACGCTATAAGCAAGCTATGGAAATTATAGTAAATATTATACTGAAATTTTGGTTTCCGTTTACCTTCAATACTTATAGGAAAATCTTAAGAAGGTGACGGTATATATGCAATTTTCAAGCAAGCAGTTATTTTAGAGCTATTTAAAGATCTACTAACTACAAAAGAAGCAATATCGTACAAAACATGAGTTGTAGTTGAGGCAGAACCACGCAATTCTTTATTCTAAAATACTAACATAAATATATATTTTTATTTTATATACAATCAATTGTATATTGACATATTGAAATCATAATATACTAACTTCTTCTTGGCTCTTTTTTTAATTATCCGTAATCACTGCGGGTCTACATTATCAATAATTGAGGACTAAACATGAAACAAATAAAATAGTAAGAATTATTGTGTCATTAAAATGTGCAACTTTTTTTTCTTCGTATTGAAAATTGAATATAACATAACATAGTTCTCTATTCAAACATACTTGTTGTTATTTTATTTATAGTTTTGAATATAAAAAAAAAATTAAGTGCTTACTGAATAATTTAATAATTTACACTATGACTAACTCGTAAAATACATACATTTATATATAATTATAACAATTGTAGGGCTAATTACAATTTTATTAGGTATACGATGTACAGATTATATAAATCCATTTTATTTAATTTTATTTGGAGCAAATTACAAACTTAAAAAGTGGTGCTAATCATCAAAATACATTTTAAGATGTGGTGCAAATGACATATTTTATAATTTTTTTTTAATTGGTTGGTTGTTTTTGGCGCAAATTACACAAGTATTTACCGTTTGACTTGGAGTAATATACCTATGACTTCATATCTGAAGAGTCAAAGGTATTATTCCTATATATTAGTTACTACTTGATTCATAGCGTGTGCCAATTGTTTAAATAAAGATTACAGGTGAACAGGCAACAGCACACATTAAAATACTGAGTGATATTTTGTTGAAAAACATTTTATTGTAGTAATCGGATGGTAAATTAAATGTATAACCAATATCATGTTGAATTCAATAAAATAAACCGTAAACGAATAAGTATCATATGAACATGTGAAAAGTGTGACCTAGTTTTAGCAAGTAAGGTACAAATATTTTTCGATTAATTGTAGAGCATAATAAATATTTTAATTTTCCACAAAGCCATATTTTTTTTAAAGTTTAAACAGCATTATATGATTATTACTTAAAACAACAATGCTAACACATTCATTTTAAAATTATATAAATATTTGTTTATCTTAATTGGAATGAATGCAAAAATACCAAAGGATTAGACACAAGTTGTTTCATGACGTTATATCTAAGGTATTACAGGTATATTGCAGTTGTTTTTTCTACTAAAGAATAAAAAAAGTTAATCATAATTTATGAAATTATTTATTCGCTACATTGTAATAACGACACATTTCAATCATGATTTTAGTGTATCAATATAATATTGTTATTGAAATTTTAATTAGTGGACAATCCGCTTGAGAAACATGACTAATCGCACAAAAAAGGTATGTAAAGAACGACCTTTCGCATACAAGTAGATTATAAATAATCTGGTTTTATAGACTTACTAAAATTCATATTGGAAAATATCTAATTGCAAATTTAATTAGGCGATTTTATCTTTAGTTAATGTTCAATGTACAATAATATCTAACATTATCTTTATCTATATCGCCTTGGGTCGAGTATAAGGCAGGCACGGGTCGTCAGTAATTTTATTATTTAACGTTGCGTCGGTGACAATACCGTCAATCTCCACTGTCACCTCATTAGTGAAAAGAATTTATTTAAATATTTAATTAGTGTTTACAATTTTTACTGTTCAATAATAAAACAAGATTATACAGTCCACTGGAGTTTTTTTTATGTGTTTTAAAACTCAAACATTGGTCCTACGAGACGGATCGAATCGTGCGCGTCAATATTATTACACACATTGTAATAATTTGACTTACAAGTTCACGGAAGAAGATCAATAAAAAGCTTCAAGAAAGAAGACAGCATCAGGTGAGTGAGTCTCAATTTAACACATATTTAAATAAAAAGTGGCCTTTTCCATAATTATTTTTTTATTTGTCCTTGACTTAAAATGAATCTGTGAGTGAAATTATACTCTATATAAGTCTATATCCACAACATTATATCATCATAACATTAAAAACAGTAGATAATGGGTAGAGGTCGATCACAATGGCTAATGATAATAATGAATTAGTGGCATACGTTCTATGTCGTGGTCAAATAAAAGGGCAGCTTGCTCGGTTTCAAACATTTCTGGACGAACCAAAGTCCAACGTTGCTACGCAATTAAGATTACGGGCTGAAAAGATACGCGAAGCATGGAGCGAATTTGATGCCATACAAAATAATATAGAGATATTAGACGTTGGTAATGAGCAGGTACAATATAGGTCCACATTCGAAGACCTATACTATGATTTAATGTCACAAGTCGACGATAGATTAACGGGAAATAACGCGCTTGCGCAAGGTCAACAATTAACACAGGCTGATAAAGGGGAAGCTATAAAAAGTCACAACTTTTCATTTTTAAAACTTAGGCCACTCGAAATTCCTACATTCACGGGAAAATTCGATGATTGGGTCACGTTTCATGATATATACTGTTCAATGATACATACAAATAATTCATTATCAGATATTCAAAAATTTTATTATTTAAGAAATGCGTTAGAAGGCGAAGCCACTTCGTTAATAAAAATTAAAAAATTTCGAAACGTCCTCATCGAACTATGTAATTGCGTGGAAAATAATTACCACAAGATATAATAATACACGTATGTTGATACAAACGCATACGAAACGTATTTTTGATTAAGAACCAATCAATAAAGAATCGGAAATTAAATTAAAATAATTAACTGATTCACTAAACGGACATATGCAAGCATTAAAAGCTCTAAATCACGATCCGTATAAGTGGGGTGCGTTGTTATTGCATGTAATTTACACGAAACTTGATACGAATACGATCAAGCAATGGGAAACGGAAGTGTCCAGAGAAGAACTACCTAGTGTACAAATTTTAATGGAGTTCCTAGGTAAAAGGAATCAAATGTTAGTCTGTAGAAAACGCTAGATTACTAACAGTCAAGCAAAACGAAGTCAATTATTCATTATCTAAAATATCGAAATTTGGAACATCTAAGAAGGGTGTGTAACGATTGTCGTCTATCGACATCGTACATTATTCCTTAAGTAGGGCACACGTTATTAAAATGCTGAGTGTGAGGAATGGCAAGCGGGGCCGACTGCTGACCTAAGGCTTTTAGGCAGCAGTTTAAGGTATATAATAAGGACGAATACGAGAGAGTGTAGGAGAGTGTGTGCGAGGAGTGTGTGTGCGACACCAGGAGCAGACAGACGACCAGAAGACTCCTCAACGATCCGTGCAGCCATCCACCATCCACACTCACGGCTTGTCAATCTACCCGGATCGGTAACCTTCATTCTATTATATAAATCTTAATTTATCTGTTAAATATACGTTACATTTTATACAATTGTGCTTTACTTAAATAAGGTAACCCTGATCTAGTAAATAATATTACACACCGAGGTCGAGTCCCCGAGACCTCGTTAATCAAAACATAACTTTATAGGCAAGACGCGAGAGCGTCGCAAACACCCATGTGAAGAGGGGACGTTACAGGTGCGACAACATTTTTATCTACATATAAAATGAAATGTTATATGTGTCAACAACCACACTCAATTTACAAATGTACCGAATTTCTGACACTTGACATAGCATCCAGAATAAACAAAGTCAATGAATTAAAATTATGCAAAAATTGTTTAAAAAAAACCGACCATCATGTAAATCAATGTCCATCGAGAAAGTGTGTAAAATGTCAACAGTTTCATAATTCACTTTTACATAAAGAAACAAGTCCGATTAACGAAAATGCCGATATATTATCAAACAATGCAGTAGTATCTGCGCATACAGCAAAAGTCGACGTTGATAGCGAAGTATTGTTAGCTACAGCTATAATAAAAATATCGAATCCCGCTGGTAGGCATTCACACGGACGAGTGTTATTAGATAGCGGATCACAAAGCAATTTTATAACAAACAACTTAGTGAACTAACTCGGACTTCAACGTGAAAAGGTAAACATTCCAATATGCGGTATCAGTGAAACGAATAATACAATAAAACATAAAGTAACTGCTGTTATCAAGTCATTAAATAATTCGTACTCTACGATAATTGATTTATTAGTATTGTCGAAAATAACGAGCCAATTACCACGAATATCTATACGAAGTGTAAACGTCCC